CTTCCAGGTCTCCCACATGGGTGCAGGGGCCCAAGGACTAGGGCCATCTTCTACTGCTTTCCCAGGCCATAGCAGAGAGCTGGATCAGAAGTAGGGCAGCCGGGTCTTGAACTGACACCCATATGGGGTGCCGGCACTGCAGGTGGCGGCTTTACCTGCTATGCCACAGCACCAGCCCCATCTTAGTCTTGTAAAATGGAAAAATCACTGTTCATCATTAAGAATACACAGCCTTTTTAAAAATGGCGGGCAGCTGGACCCTCTTCTCTTGACATTCCTAATAACCTCTCTCTTCAGAAGCCTTATTTTGCTCCCTGCTTCCCACCTCTGTCTTCACATGTGACAGTCGTGGCTCACTGAGTGCCTTCCTGCTTGTGTGTGTGTCACAGCCTGGTTGTTTCTGGCGTTCCAGGTTCAGTGGGTTGCAGCAGGAAAAGCCACGTGGGTGCTAAGGGCCTCCTAGACAGCTGGCCGTGCACGGGCCTCCCCTGGTGGCCAGCTGCGGTACAGCAGGCATCCTGGAGCAGGAGATTCCAGCCCCAGAGGGCAGCCCAAAGAATCAGCTGTCCCAAGGCCACTGGCCAGCAAGGATTATTTGGTTCTCTCTGTTAAAAACGTTTCCTTTTCTGAGACAAGCCAAAGCTTCCCCTGTTATTTTGTCCTTTTTTTTTTCTTTCCTACCAAATGTAGAAGAGAGAAATGCTGGGAGTAAAATTGTTAAAAAGCAGAGAGAGAGAGAGAGAGAGAGGAATAGAGTACATTTGACTAAACAATCTGAATTTGAACGGGGTTGCTGCTCTGCCTGTCCAGACAAGCAGGCTGGCCTTTGAGCTTGAGCCGTTTTTAGGTGGCAAGGAGTGGGGCTGAATGGTTGCAAGGTGGCCTTTTGAGGGCTTTTTGAGAGTTGTTGGCCGGCACCGCGTCTCACTAGGCTAATCCTCCACCTGTGGTGCCGGCACACCGGGTTCTAGTCCTGGTCGGGGCACCGGATTCTGTCCCGGTTGCCCCTCTTCCAGGCCAGCTCTCTGCTGTGGCCAGGGAGTGCAGTGGAGGATGGCCCAGGTGCTTGGGCCCTGCACCCCATGGGAGACCAGGAGAAGCACCTGGCTCCTGCCTTCGGATCAGTGTGGTATGCCGGCCGCGGCGGCCATTGGAGGGTGAACCAACGGCAAAGGAAGACCTTTCTCTCTGTCTGTCTCTCTCACTGTCCACTCTGCCTGTCAAAAAAAAAAAAAAAAAAAAAAAAGAGAGAGAGAGAGAATTGCTGTTGCAGGCTGGCTCCTCTGAGCTGCTTTGCAGCTTGGGGTCCTTAGTGTGCAGCTGGGCCCGTGGGTACAGTAAATGGACAGACTCCAAATGCACTTCCCAGAACAGTGCCCCAAGGGAGAAGGTGTGCCGGGGACCAGAGCCCGGGTGCCCCTGCCCGAGGACTTTGCGAGTGAGGGCCTGTGGATGGGAGGAGCTCATGGCGTTTCAGAGGAGCGGGTCTTAGCTCAGACGTAGGGTTAGCCAGGGCTTCAGCCGAAAGCATACCAAGGAGGCCAACAGAGGGACAAAGCTGGCAAGGTGAGGAGCTGGCACCGAGCTCTGGGTGCCTGGGTTCACTGCAGGTGGCACAGCCCTGCTCTGCCTTGCCCTGTGGTCCTAACCAACCCCAGCCGGGAGGGGGGCCCATAGCGCCCCATCAGTGGGGTCTGGCCTGCTGTGGGCATGGGGAAGGTGGCATTGGTGAGCGCTCGGGTGATTGCAGGATGAGTGCATGAGCGCCGAGAAGGACAGTTCATAAACTGCAATAAAGAGAATTAGAGAGTGAGCTGCAGGCTGCTGCTGGCAGGGGACATTTTCCATCTCTGCAGGGGCAGCTGATAGAGTTGCTCAGCTTCTCATTTCTTGGAGTTGGCACAGACAAGAGGACGGCGAGGGTCTGCTCGTCCACAACGGGGCTTAAAAGCCACTGAGATAAAAAGAACGGCGCCGTGCCTGGCGGGGCGGCGAGCGAACATGAGCTCGGAAGTGGCAGTGGCATCGATCGGACCCTGAGAGCAGCGGTTTAATTCTGCCCTCACCTCTTTGAACTCCATGCATCGATTGGCACGCCGCAGGTAGCAGCTTGGGGCTGGGGAGCTGGAGTCGGGGCTGGCTGCTGTGTGTGTGTGTGTGGGGAGGGGGGGGACGAGTCCTGGAGAAGGAGGTTCTGGGTTGTGGCCCGCGCCAAGGCCCCTCATGCCCTTGGTTTGTCCCCCAAGCATGGGAGTGACGGACGTGCAGGTGATCTGGATGCCCTGTGGGTATTGCACATCTCTTCATATTTCAGTATCTGTAGAAAAACGTATTGCTGTGAGTTTCAGCATCTTCTCCTTGATCTTCTGGCCTTTGAAGTTTACACCTCCACGTAAGAGAACCCCGTTGCCGTTTCTTCCCTCCCTCCTTAAGTATCAGTGTGCCTGGGTTCCCTTTAGCTTGTAGATCGTGAAGTGTCTCCGTGGCTCTTTGCGGTGAGAACACACCGAGGATGGTGTGCTGCGTAGCTCACGTCTTGGACTCGTCATCTCCAGTGTCACCGCTGCGCAGGAGCACAGCTCTCAGCTGCCGAGAACGGGGCATTGCTCTGCCTTGTTCTGCCCTGTGGGCAATTTCCCTGCTTCTCTTCGCACTCCTCTTTTGAATTTTTAATTTCTACCACCGGATTTTCGATTTCTAAGAGGTTGGGTCCTGGTCTCTGAGGGATTCTGAAAACAGCAGCCTGCTCTTTAGTTCCTGTGCTGTTGATGTCTGGTGTTTTCTCAGCTGAGTGCTTAGTTTTAAGATTAAAATGCACATTGGATGCTGTGTGCGCCCTGGGGCTCTCCGGCTGCTACACATGGGACCTTTCACTGGGGGTCCCCAAGCATGAGGTCCCTCCAGCAGGTCATGGACAGATGGGATTGCAAGGTGTTTATTTCGGTGCAACAGTTTTTGATAAGTGTGTACTTATCCATGCATGGGGGGGTGGAGTCTTCAAAAGTTCGTGGGAAGTGAATAAATGGAAGAAACTCTGTATGGATTTCAACATTTTCTGCATCAAAACAAATTGACCTCTCTCTCTCTCTTTTTTTTTTTTTTTTTTTTTTTTGACAGGCAGAGTGGACAATGAGAGAGAGAGAGACAGAGAGAAAGGTCTTCCTTTGCTGTTGGTTCACCCTCCAATGGCCGCCACGGCCAGCGCGCTGTGGCCGGTGCACCGCGCTGATCCGAAGCCAGGAACCAGGTGCTTCTCCTGGTCTCCCATGGGGTGCAGGGCCCAAGCACTTGGGCCATCCTCCACTGCACTCCCGGGCCACAGCAGAGAGCTGGACTGGAAGAGGGGCAACCAGGACAGAATCTGGCGCTCCGACCGGGACTAGAACCCGGTGTGCCAGCGCCACTAGCCGGAGGATTAGCCTAGTGAGATGCGGCGCCGGCCACAAACTGACCTCTTAATTGCTTCTTCCGTGAACTTTTTGGACCACCCTCATAAGGCTCCGTGAGGCTCTTTGTTCTACTTCCCAGGGAGGAGCTGGGTGCTTCTGCCTGGGCTGAGTGAGCAACCAGCCTCTCCCTTAGCCGTGCCCGATGTCCTAAAGGCCAGCCCCTGTGCGATGCAGGTGTCCTGGAATTTGGGGGGTGCTGTGACCCGGGTCGCCCAGCTCAGTCTTTATGCGGCCTTTCAGCTGGTCCTGTTAGCCCCGCCCCCCAGTTCTTGCTGTTTCCGGGGTGCCCGGGTGGGAGCTGACTTGCTGTGTGTTGGCTGCCCTCCCTGTTGGCACTGGGGTTTCAGCTGCTGCTGTCCCAGGCACTGCGTGTCCTCCTGGATTTCGTTGCTATCACTTGTCTGAGGTGTCTTTTCTGTCTCTTTGACCTTGTGAATTTCTGTCTTTTTTTTTTTTTTTTTTTTTTGGTAAACCAATTTTTAAGAAGGCTTATTTATTTGAAAGGCAGACTGACAGACATCGTCCGTCCATTCACTGATTCACTCCTCAGATGGTCACAACAACCTGGGGTGGTTGAAACCAGGAACCTGGAACTCTATCCGGTTCTTCCACATGGTTGGCAGGGGCCCAGGTACTTGGGACATGATGCGCTGCTTTCCGAAGCACATTAGCAGGGAGCTGGATTGGAAATGGAGCAGCCGGGACTTGAACTGGTGCTTTGATGTGGGATACCTGTGTTACAGGATGCAGCTTAATCTGCTGCACCAGAATGCCGGCCCCTCTTAAATCATCATATAAGGGTTTTGAAAGGGAGTGGATATAAGCCCATATATTCAGTTTCCCGTGTGTAACTGGACCCTTGTCCCAGTCAGCGTTAAGGGGAGAAATGTCTGAGAGGACCTTTATCTAAGCGAAACCAGAGGTTATTGTCCAACCATCAGGTTCTGAAGAGAGCATGTGGGAGATGTTGAAACTAAAATTCATAGATCTGGTTGGGTGACACCTAGAGAAACACATTGTGCTATTTCTTGGCTGCTAATACAGTTTGGAGCAAAACCGATTCTGTTTCTACAACACAGTGTGGTATGTGACCCTACTTCTTCCCTTAGCCCCTCCCCAAATATCTAAATTTTGAGAAATACATGTATTGTGAACATGCTTGTTCAAGGCTAATTATTGTTTACAAGATTTATTTATTGATTTATTTGAAAAAGTGACAGAGACAAGGGGAGGGGAGAGAAAGAACAAATCTTCCATCTGTTGGTTCCTGTTGGTTCATTCTCCAAATGCCTGCAATAGCCAGGGTTGGGCCAGGCTGAAGCCAAGAGCCCAACGCTGCATCCAGGTCCCTCACATGAGTGGCAGGGACCCAAGTACTTGAGCCACCCTCTGTTGTATTCCCAGGTGAATCAGGAGGCAGCTGGGTCAGAGCAGAAGCGCCGGGTCTGGGGTGCACTGTGACATGGGGTGCAGCCGGGAGGAGCCCTCGTGGCCTCCACTGCTGGGCTTTGACCAGCTCCGAGACCTCACTGTGTCTGCCTTCTTTTCTAGGACACTGGGGTTGGGAAATCGAGCATCGTGTGTCGCTTTGTGCAGGATCACTTTGACCACAACATCAGCCCTACCATCGGGTAAGTTCCTTCAGGGTGCTAGGGGAGGTCCTGGGGCTGGGCCGGAGCCTTCCGCAGGGCCACAGTTTCATCCCAGAGAGTGCGCATCCATCCCACCTCGAGTGAAGCCCTACAGGGATCTAGGGTTTTCCAAGCCCTGTGTCCAGGCTGCTGTCCCTTCTTCACGCTGCAGCCTAAAGCCACTTCCCTGGTCTCAAGAGCATTGTCCTCCAAGTCACACCAGCTGTGTTTCTGGAGGGAAAATGATACAGAGGGCAGACCCTCCCACCCCGCCACGTCCCTGCCTTAAGTTGCCTGCCAGTATAGGCAACTTGTGTCACAGGCATGGTTTTGTTTTCATTTTATTCGAATGGCAGACAAGGAGAGAGAGTGAGAGACAGAGACCGAGACAGAGCAAACAGAGGTCTTACATCTTCTGGTTCACTTCCTAAATGCCCAGGCCAGATCGAAGCCAGGAGCCTGGAACTCAGTCTGGGCCTCCCACATGGGGGATTTGGATCCAAGTAACTTGAACGAACACCTGCTGCCTCCCCAGGGTGCGCATTAGCAGGAAGCTGGATGAAAAGTTTAAGAGCTGGGACTTGAACCAGGCCCTCCAGTGTGGAATGTGGGCATCCCCAGTGGTGACTTTAGTGCCGTGTCAGCCTCTAGTTACAACCTTTCTAGAGGACGTTCTTTTCATCCTTTCTACAATATTCTTTTTTCTTTCTTGTTTAGCTTTTAACTTTGTGTTTCTTGATAATAAGGGCAAAACCCATGAGAGTGATTTGCTGTGAAGTACGGTTCTTGAACACAGAGGACTTTCACCTGCTTTCTAAATTTTTGCAAAAAATTTTACCACACATATGTATTTCTTTATAATACATTTTAAAAAATAAGAAGTCACTGGATACTCACACCATAGATTAGGACCAATGCATAGACGTATCAAGCGGGGACGGGCACTTGGTGTAGGAGTTAAACTGCTGCTTAGGTCGCCCACATCCCGTGTTGGAGAGCTTGGGTTTGAATCCCTGCTCCACTGCCAATTCCAGCTCCCTGCTAACGTGCACTTTGGGAGGCAGCAGGGGATGGCTCAGGTAGGTGGGTCCCCACATCCTCATGGGAGACCTGGATTGAATTCCAGCTCGTGGCTTCCACCTGGTCCAGCCCCTGTTGTTGCAGGCATCTGGGGAGTGAAGCAGCAGATGGGAGATCTCTCTCTCTCTCTCTCTCTTGCTCTCTCTCTCTCTCTCTCTGTCTTCCAAATAAAGGAAGCACATGGCTCCTGGCTTCGGATTGGCGCAGTGCACCGGCCATAGCAGCCATTTGAGGGGTGAACCAACGGAAGGAAGACCTTTCTCTCCATCTCTGTCTCTAACTCTGCCTGTCAAAAAAAAAAAAAAAAAAAAAAAAGCCTGAGTCCCACGTTGAGTGTTTGGGTTCAATTCCTTGCTCTAGCCCCCAAGTTCTGTTTCTTGTGAATGTAGAACCTAGGAGGTAGCAATGATGGCTCTAGTAATTGAGTTCTTGCCCCCTATGTGGGAAACCTAGTTGGGGTTCATGGCTCTTGGCTCTGGCTTCAGCCTAGTCCCTGCCATTGTGCGCATTTGGGGAATGAACCAGTGGATGAGAGTTCTATCTCTCTGCCTATCAATAAACAAGTAAAATTTTAAGAAAATCACATGCCGGCTCAATAGGCTAATCTTCCGCCTGTGGCGCGGGCACACTGGGTTCTAGTCCCAGTCGGGGCACCTGAGTCTGTCCCGGTTGCCCCTCTTCCAGGCCAGCTCTCTGCTGTAGCCAGGGAGTGCAGTGGAGGATGGCCCAAGTGCTTGGGCCCTGCACCCTATGGGAGACCAGGAGAAGCACCTGGCTCCTGGCTTCGGATCAGTGCGGTGTGCCGGCCGCAGCAGCCATTGGAGGGTAAACCAACAGCAAAGGAAGACCTTTCTCTCTGTCTCTCTCTCACTGTCCACTCTGCCTGTCAAAAAAAAAAAAAAAAAAAAGAAAAAGAAAAAGAAAATCACAGTATATTGTAAATTTCATGCTATTAAATGCTGTTGATATTTTTGATTTATTTATTTATTTGAAAGTCAGAGACATAGGGGGAAAGACAGAGAGAGAGAGAGCGAGAGCAAGCGCTTTCATCTGCTGGTTCACTCCCCACATGGCCACCAAGGCCAAGGCTGAGCCAGGCCAAAGCCAGGAGCCAGGAGCTTCATCCGGCTCTCATACATGGTGCCAAATACTTGATCATCCTCTGCTGCTTTTCCCAGGCCATTAGCAGGGAGCTGGATCAGAAGTGGAGCAGCCAGACTCAAACCAGCGCCCATACGGGATGCTCACATCTCAGCAGCTTTACCTGCTACACCACAACACCAGCCTTTAAATGCTCTTTAAAAGTAATGATTTTAATGGCTATATTTTCCATTTAAGGTATCTAGGTTGTTTAATTTTTTTTTACCTTTTATAAATACATGTACATCCTTGGGCATAAATAAATCCTTGGCCCAATTTCTTTTTTCCTTTTTTCTTCTTTTCTTTCATCAGAGTTGGGGATGGGAGAGAGAGGGAAAGAGGGGGAGAGGGAGAGAGAGAGAGAAAGAGAAAAAAGAGAGAGGGAGAGAGATTTTTCCATCCACTGGTTCCCTCTCTAAATGGCTGCAATGGCCTGGGCGAGGCTAGGCCAGTGCCAGGAGCCAGGAGCCAGGAGTTTCGTCTGGGTCTCCCACGTGAGTGACGGGCACCCAAACACTTGGGCCATTTTCCGCTGCTTTTCCCAGGCTGTTAGCAAGGAGCTGGATCGGAAGTAGAGCAGCCAGGACGTGAACCAGCGACGCCAGCTCCCGTAGACCCAGTCTGGAATGACTACAGAATTATGCTGTACACCACCGAACTCCGTTCCTGCCCTCTCCCCTGGGCAGTGTTAAGCTCAGCTGCTCATTTCCTGCGTATCCGAGGTAGTTGAGTTTCCCAATTTTAAGTCTCTCTGCTGCTTCTCTGGAATATTAAGAACACGTTTCCAGAAGCCCCAGGTTCCTGGCTTCAGATCAGCCCAGCTCTGGCCAGTGTGGCCATTTGGGAAGTGAACCAGCAGATGGAAGTTCTGTCTCCCCTACCCCCGCCCCCCGTAACTCTGGCTTTCAAATGAATAAATAAACCTTAAGAAAGAACCTGTCTCCAACCCCGGTTTCAGAAAAATAAGCCGAGGAGAAACACGTTCCAACTGAAACACGCAGATTTCTAGAAGATAGCATCAGTGGAATATTTCCCAAAAGCCTGAGTGCTTATTCCAAAGCCGGTGGATTCCACAGGCCGGAAGTCTGCCTTAGCTGGGCGTAGCCCTCGTGGTGCTCTAAGATTCTCAAGCCAGTAGTGAGCAAGCAGGAGCCGTTTATGTAATGGACTCGAGAAATCAGTGGCATTGGTGTGCAGAGTACACGTGGCCATGCTCAAGTAGCCAGCTGGGGCCGAGCCTCTGCAGCCGGGCCGGGTTCTCTCAGCTTCTGGCCCTCCTGACTCACTGACCCCACCCCTCCTCCCAGCCTGCATCACTCATTGGTCTGTCCTACCTGGTCTCAAGACATTTCCCTTTGTGTCCCGGCCCAAGTACTTCCTTCACCCTTACCCTGTCACCTCCCCAAGGGACCGAGCGGTCAGTGACTGGCTTGGGCTCACCCACCCAGCACACACCCAGCTTGGGACTCAATGCAGGTGAGGCCACGCTGGCGCGGAGCGTGCCCTGTGCTCCCACCTGGAAGTGCGCCAGCCCTGGGAGAAGGCCAGAGGCTATAAAGCACCATTGTTTCAACATCACAAGGGTTCCCTCTTATCACCTCTGTGACTCACAGCGAACATCTTGGCTCTGCTGTGCAAGCGGATTGTGCTGACGTCTGGAACATGGTGTGTGCGCGTGTGTTTGTACGTGCTTGTGTGGTGCTTGCATGTGTGTGTGCACGTGTGTGTCTCCCTGTTTCAACCCTTCAAGGAGGCCGTGGTGTTCTCCGCCAGACTGAGTTTTCCCCAGATCATGAAGTGGGTTCCGTGTTGCCAGCATGCCCTCTGCTCTGGAAGGAATTATTAATTTTTTTAGATTTTTATTTATTTATTTGAGAGGTAGAGTTACAGACAGTGAGAGGAGAGACAGAGAGAAAGGTCTTCCTTCCGTTGGTTCACTCCCCAAATGGCTGCAACGGCTGGAGCTGCGCCGATCCGAAGGCAGGAGCCAGGTGCTTCCTGCTGGTCTCCCATGCGGGTGCAGTGCCCAAGGACTTGGGCCATCCTCCACTGCACTCCCAGGCCACAGCAGAGAGCTGGACTGGAAGAGGAGCAACCAGGACTAGAACTCGGCACCCATATAGGATGCCAGTACCACAGGCGGAGGATTAACCTACTGCACCATGGCGCTGGCCCCCTGGAAAGAATTCTGTATGAAGAAAATATCCAAGGGTCTTGGGATCTAAGGTCCTGTGAAGACTAAAACCGGCAGCCCACCAGAGGAGCAGAGTGTCATGGTCCGCATTGCAAATACGGATCACCTTTTCCTTAGCAGCAAGAATATGGAGACGAGGGGGAGGTCTGTGTGTGTGTGTGTGTGTGTGAGTCTCCATGTGCATCTGTGTCTGCAGGTCTACAGGCCTCTGTGTATGGACCTCTGTGTGTGAATTGGTGTGCGTGTATGGGAGTCTGTGAGGGGTCTGTGTGTGTGTGCAAGTCTAGATTTGTGAATCTATATGTGTGTGTATGGGTCTACAAGCCTCTGTGTGTGGGGTCTGTGTGTGTAGGGGATCTGGGAGTATGTGTGTGTGTGTGTCTGTGGGTGGTCTGTGTGTGTGTATATATGTGTGTGGGGGGTGGGGTCTATGTTCGTAGGGGATCTGGGAGTATGTGTGTGTGTATGTGTGTGTGTGGGGACCTCTGTGTGTATGTGGCGGGGCTGTGTATGGGGGCTGGCCCCGCCCCCATGGCTTTTCCTCACAGCCCAGGGTGTCTCCAGGGGCAGTTTCACGGCGTGTGGCTCCTGTATCACACAGAGCAGGCACTGGCCCGTTTCACAGAGAGAGCACTGAGAGGCTTGGAGGTGTTCACGCACCGCGGACTGGGTCAGCTGCCTCTTCGACCTGACACAGCAGCCCTCGGGCTCTCAGGAGCTTTTCTCTCCCTTCTCTGTGTGGTGAAGGGGTTGCACTGAAGTTCTCTCCCTGCCTCTGAATGTCTAGGATTCCAAGACTTGAAGGCCTGCCCTCCTGCAGAGGAGGACTTTGTAAGGGCAAGGTTGAGACTTACTCCACTGCCTGTGTCTTGAATGAATGAAAACGTGACTTTGATCAAAGTAAAAACTGTAACAAAATATTGATATAGTTGTCTACATAAGAGTGTAAGCTTGTCTGGAAAACATCCCCTGAACAAAGTTAAAGGACAGATGTTGAACTGCAAAAATATTATTTAAAATATATCATTAAAAAAGAGGAGTATAAAATACTCAAAAAATGAGGGAGAAGGGGATACATGCCCCCATCAAAGGTCATGAACTTGAGATTTATGAGAGAAAAGTACAAGTGATCAGCAAACACTAGAATGATATTGAGGCTTCTGTTAAGCATAATGAAACAGGAGGGAGATATATTACATGTCATATTGGGAGACATTTGAAAGACTGATACTGGTTGGAGACAAAGCCATTCTCCTACACTCCTATGATGTGTAGGTTGTAGCTTGGCATATGTAAAAAAGGGGAGCATGTCTACTTTTTAAGAATTAAGTCTGAGGACATCGTTGTACAAGGACACAGGATGTCAGTACAAGGGTACTCACTGAATCATTGTCATGATAGTGAAAAATAGATAACCTGGGGCCAGCGCTGTGGCATAGCTGGTTCCCATACGGGTGCTGGTTCGAGTCTGGCTGCTCCACTTCTAGTCCAGCTCCCTGCTAATGTACCTGGGAAAGCAGTGGAGGATGGCCCAAGTCCTTGGGCCCCTGCACCCATGTGGGAGACCCAGAAGAGGCTCCTGGCTCCTGGCTTCAGCCTGGCCTAGGCTTTTGGGGAATGAACCAGCAGATGGAAGATCTCCCTCTCTCCCTCTCTTTCCCTCTCTCTCTTTCTGTAACTCCGCCTTTCAGATGAGTAGATAAATCTTAAAAAAAAAAAAAAAAAGGAAGAAGAAAATAACCTAACTGTACTTCACTGGATTATTGAATAAATCTACACAGGGTTTATAATATTCTGTCATTTTATTTTATTTATTTATGTTGTATGTTGTATTTATTAGAGAGACAGGTGGAGAGAGAGAGAAAGAGAGCAAGTGAGCTCCTTTCCATTGGTTTCCTCCCCAAATATCCACAGCAGCCAGGACTACGCCGAGGCTGAGGTTGGGAGCTGTGTCCCAATGGCCCGTGTATGTGGCAGGGATCCAACCTCCCACCTGAGCCATCACTGCTGACCTCCCAGGATCCTCACCAGCAGGAATCTGGAATCAGGAGTGGGGCCAGGACTTGAACCCAGGCACTCCAGCGTGGGATGTAGGCATCTTAACTGCTAAGCCAAATAGCATATGAGACCACAGAGTGACACTGACCCATATTCATAATCCCCAGAGGAGGAAAGGTGTTGCTGTTATATGAAGGGAAGGAAAACAAACTTTATAGAGTATGATTTCTTTTTAAGGGTAAAAATTATATAAAAATAATTGTGAGTGGAGTATTGGACTCCACGTTTCAAATGTCCACATTCCAATATCAGAATGCTTGGATTTAGAGTCTACTGCGCTTCCAGTCCAGCTTCCTGCTTGTGCACATTGTGAGGCAGCAGGTGATGACCCAAATACTTGGGTCCCTGCCACCCACATGGGGGACTCAGATTGAAGTCTTGGCTTCTGGCTTCTGCCCGGCTCAGCCTGGGCTCTTGTGGACTTGAAGAATGAACCAACAGATGGAAGATTTTTGTCTGTGTAGATCTGTTTGTTTTTCTGTCTCTCTCTGTTGCCTTGGCTTTCAAATGAATAAAAATAAATAAAATGAAAGTTTAAAAAATTGTGAGGGACTTACGCCAATGAATTGGCAGTGCCTGTAGCTAGGTGGTGAAATGGTGGTTGATTTTTATTTCCTTCTTTGTTTTCATTTTTGATTGTGTGTGTGTGTGTGTGTGTCTAGTACAAATAATGGTTCTATAAAGGAAAAATGATATTTCCAGTTTTGGAATATATTTGCTTTTATCAGTAGTCGTAGATGTATATTTTAAGCCCTTTTAAAGAAATAAGAGATATGGTTTGGTAATATTTTATCATATCACTTAGCAAAATACTTAGGGGCTGGTGCTGTGGCATAGCAGGTAAAGCCATCGCCTGTGGCACCGGCATCCCATATGGGTGCAGGTTTGAGTCCTGGCTGCTCCACTTCCAATCCAGCTCTCTGCTATGGCCTGGGAAAGCAGTAGAAGATGGCCTAAGTCCTTGGGCCCCTGTACCCACATGGGAGACCTGGAAGAATCTCCTGGCTCCTGGCTTCAGATCAGTGCAGCTCTGGCCGTTGCAGGCATTTGGGGAGTGAACCGTAGGATGGAAGACCTCTCTCTCTCTCTGCCTCTGCCTCTTTAACTCTACCTTTCACATAAATAAATAAGTAAATCTTTAAAAAAAGAGAGAAAGAGAGAGAAAGAAAAATACCTAGAATGTTCATTTCCTGCAAGTGTAGATGGATAAGTAGACCTCTGTGTTTGCCTTTGGTGTGTGTGTGTGATATGCGACCGCAAGGGCTTGTGCTTTGCTACTTGGGCTCTCCGTGGTTTTTCTCTTATTTCTGAGAGAAGTCGTATGACTGTGTTGAGTGCTGGGTGAGAGCTGGGTGCAGCTGTGACCTGGACTGGGAGGGCCAGGCTGGACCACGTGAAAGGACAGGGAATGCATCCTGACGCTGGGTCCCTCAAAACCCCAGTCTGTGTCTCCCGAAAGTAAGAATATAAAGAGGGCACCATGACTGTATTTCAGACAGTAATTTGATTTAGTGGTGATTGCTCAGAATCCAAGTTTAAATTTCCTCCAGTTGTCCCTAAAAGTTCTTTTAAAGCTGTTTCTGCCCTCCTCCAGGATCCGGTCTAGACGCATAGTCTGCATTTGCTGTTTAATGTAGATTCCCTTTTTTTTTTTTTTTTTTTTGGACAGGCAGAGTGGACAGTGAGAGAGAGAGACAGAGAGAGAAAGGTCTTCCTTTGCTGTTGGTTCACCCTCCAATGGCCACTGCGGCTGGCGTGCTGCAGCCTGCGCACCACGCCTATCCAAAGGCAGGAGCCAGGTGCTTCTCCTGGTCTCCATGGGGTGCAGGGCCCAAGCACCTGGGCCATCCTCCACTGCACTCCTGGGCCATAGCAGAGAGCTGGCCTGGAAGAGGGGCAACCGGGACAGGATCCGGCGCCCTGACTGGGACTAGAACCCGGTGTGCCGGCACCGCAAGGCGGAGGATTAGCCTAGTGAGACGCAGCGCCGGCCTAGATTCCCTTTCAATCTGGATTCTAGAAAAATCTCCCTGCCTTTCGTTTGCCTCAGTTGAAGCCGAGTGTCTTGTAGATCCTGCACGTGTCTGATGGGATAAGCCCGTTTTCTGTTGCTGTAACAAAAGCACAGGCCTGAGTGATACGTGTGGAAGAGATTTATTTGACTTGGAGTTGTGGAGGCCCCATCATTTCAGCCTCTGGCGGAGGCCTCACAATGGCAGGGGTGCAAGCAGAAGAGAACACACGATGAGACCGGAAGCCATGGGGTTCAGGGGTCAGGCTCCTTCTTTGGTAATAATACACTCTCCAGAACTTAGAGTGGGGGTCCCAACCGGAGCTACCTTAATCCTTTCCGAGGGTATGGCCCCCATGACCTAACCACCTCCCACTAGGTCCCAGCTCTTAAAGGTTCTGCCATCTCTTAATACTGCCATCCTGAGGACCAGCCCCTCAGCTCATGAACCCTTGTGGAGACAGACTACATTCAAGCCATTGAATTCTGGCCGCGGGAGGCCTCCTATTGCAGGGTGTCAGTCGCCCTGCCATTGTGGGTACTTGCAATGAATGACAACCTTCATCTCATGGTAGAAAAGTCAAGGCTATTCAAGATTCCTCTACTGGATTTTTACACTTTTCGTGGCATAAAAGGAAAATTCAGTAAGAAGAAATATGCTTAAAAGACAATAGCAAGTGTTTTACCATTATGGAGACTTTAAAAATCTTTCTTTTCTGTAGTGAAAACATAGATTTTTTTCTTAAGCCACCAATCTTTATCCTTGCATTCAGGCAAGTGGGTTAGGACTTGGATACAGGATTCTGTTTGTTGTGTTTAGTGTTGAATTCGTATTAGCAAAGGTCAATATGTACCACTGCAAGGTCAAACCCATAACACTTCCAAATACCAGATGCTATTGTCACTCATAATTGCTGTAATAACAAGTGTTTAATATCTAGGATTATATTCTTTCCTGATACCTGAGGAGTATTATCTCTGATCCATTGGAACTGTTTTTGGAAGCAGTCCTTCTAAATACAATTCTTTGTTCTGTTTTCAGTCCACTCCAGTTGCACTAGCAGAAAACTCAATGTTTTCTTTGGGCTAGCTAACAGCCCTCTCTCCTCCCAGTGGCTCCCTAAGGACAGGGGCTGTTAGACTCCTGATGGGACATAATGGTAACTTGCTTGATCCACGAATCTCTTTAAGGAGCAACTAGTAACAGGAGATGTGAACTCTCTTTTTCAGGGCGTCTTTTATGACCAAAACTGTGCCTTGTGGAAATGAACTTCACAAATTCCTCATCTGGGACACGGCTGGTCAGGAGCGGGTGAGTGTACAGGGAAAACACGGAGACCGGTTCTGGAACTGGATGGCAGCGCCAGACCTGCAGCTGGAAGTCATTTAAGCCAAAGGAAATGTAGTTGTTGGCCACTTGAAAAACAGTCTAAACGTTCAGGGTCCCCAAATGCATTGTCAAAGGTGCCCATCTCCCTTTGTCCCGATTTCTTTCTGTTTCGTGCAATTGCAGTTGCGTTCTAATTTATTGGCTTCCCTGTGTAGGCAGAACCATCTGCCTTCCTTCCCCCACTTGTGGCAAGGATGGCCCCATCAGCAACTCCACCTACCTTTTGCCACCTTAGCAACTCCACAAAGGGGAGTCTGAGTCTTAGCGCCTGTGGATTCTCATTGGCCTGCTTCGGGTTAGACATCTACTCCTGTAGGGAACCAGGTACAGTCTCCAGGGGGATTTGGTGCCTCTAGTGGTGGGGCAGGTAATGCACTTACTTCTCACTTCTGGAGGTAGCAGCCCCAGGGGAACTACATTGATTGGAAGTCAGGGAAACTTTGTTCCTGCAGGAAATCCTGGGTTCTCTTACTGGAAAGTGAGGGAGTGGTGCTGGGTTTCCAGAAACAGACTCCATCACTCTTACTCTTAGTTATTTTATTTGTTGAACATGTCTATAGAGAAGATTACATATTTAAGAAACTCATGGCTTTAGATTCTAAAAAGGGGCGGGGTGGGGGAGCATTGTACCCCACAGGTTTTGTGTGTGACAGGGTATATGTGCAGTAACGACTGGAGTGTGAATTAGCAAAGCTGAAAGGGGTAGTCAGGAACAGTGAAACAGAGACAACCAGTACCTTGTCTTAACAGAGATCTTTCAGCCTGATCAAAGCTTCTATCAAAGCTGATAATTGTGGAGTAAAATTGGTTGAGCTTTTCCGTGTCTGACCCAAACTCAGCTGACACCTACTCTACCTACCCTATTTAAAATGTCAACAGCTCCCTTCCCCACCCTACCCCCACTCACTTCCTGCTTTATTTTTCTCCACACTCTGATCCTCTGCTCCTAGATGGGTACCATTTATTTTACTAATTGTCTCTCTCTCAGAAAAAAAAGAATTCAGGGTTCAGGATGATCCGTGATTGTCATTGTTTGCTCCCAGCTAATCAAGTGTTACTTCATATGCTCTTCATGTTATTATGTATCCTCTTTTTAAATGAAAGTTCCAGTACTTATAAATTAAGGCATTTTTAAAGTACTTTTTTAAAAAAAGAGGATGACTCTTCGGGCCTGCAACTGCTAGCCTGTTTCAGGTGTCTCCTGTTTCGTTGTAAAATTGAGGGCACAGACGGTCACACACAGAAGCAGCCACCAGGGGCACTTCTTTAACTCTGTTAGTGAGCTGCGCCTGCTGATTCCTAAAATGAGGCAGCAGATTCCAGGGAAAATAGCATTTCAGGGAGCGCACGTCATTACCCGTGACCACAGGTGTTTCTTATAGTTGATCTACTTTTTTAAACAAAATTATTTATTTATTTGAAAGTCACGGGGACAGAGAGGGCGGGGCAGGAGGCACGGATTTTTGTTCTGTTTTCCTTCTCTGGGCTGTTCCGGCGACTGCAGCCCAGCTCGCCTTGCTCCCTCCCTGCTTTTCCAGCTGCTTCCAGGAGGTAGCTGCTTTGGCAGGTGCTTTCAGAGAGCGCCGTTCTCCAAAGAGCTGGCCCGGTGTTCACGCGCTCCCGCTGCCTGCGCCTGGCTGTGTTCCATCGCTGTTCTGAGTGCCTTCTGTGTACCACGTGTGTGTGTCTAGCCCTCTCCAAGCACTGTGAGGTGGGGGCTTACAGGAGAGGCCATCGAGGCACAGAGAGGCCAAGTAACTTGCTCAGAGTCGCACAGCAAATAGGGAACATCCTTGAAATTTGAATCCTGCGGTCTGGGCTCTGAGCTTTATAGTTTTGTTTTGGTAGAGAAACCACACAGAAGTTACAGATTGGAGATAAAAATTATCTACACGCTCACCACCCAGTTATTTCCACTTAAGTTAACACTAAATGACCGTTCTTCAGATATTTGTGTGTATTGACTATATCAACGGCACCACAACCTTTATAATGGACTGTTTTTATTTGATTATACAGCGACACTATGGAGAGATTTCTGTGTGATAGAGTGTTTAACGTTTGCTTGCGTATCCCAATATAATATTCCAGCGGCTGACTGCCTGTGATGGGACTTGGTTCTCTGCTGAAATGACTACAGAAGTTTGGCCCATTTACTGTCTCAAAGAAAAACTAGCCATGGCAAATTTTCAGATGAGCAGGTCTCTAGTTTTAAGTGCTTTTCCTAAACTTGTGACCGTTCGAGGCTGTGCAGGTCTGTGACTGCATTTCAGAGCGCTCGTGTCGATAGTACAAGGCGAGACTACAGCAGTGCTGCTCAGCCTTATACTCTGGGGAAGAGGGGTTTCGTGTTGGGTAACAACATCAGGTGATTACAGTTTCTGGTGACGATTCCGTTTTTGGAATCTGGATTTGCGGGTAGTGTGAGGTCCTCAGTTCCGTGGCCTGTGTGGTCCTCCCATCCCTCTCCAATCCTGGAAGGACCCGGGTGAGTCATCCACAGGCTGTCCTTGTGCCCTGTCCCTCGGTGGAGTCTCCCATCTCTCCAGGGATGGCAGGTTTTCAATTGTTCCTGGCAGCTTGGTGCTGGCTTTTAATTGGGCTTGTAATGTTGTGGCCTAATGTTTGAGCTAAAAATAAATTCCCTGCTGTTGTTCGTGCCTATTGCTATTTGTTCTGTCTCATTAATTACTGGAGTCCCCTGAATTTGATTATCCCTCCTTATCTCTGTAGAAATCAGGTTTTCATGATTTTTAAACAATCTCTTTGGGCTTATGCTTGACAATATAAAGACATAGAGCTCTGGGCCCTCAAAGGGGCATGATGCTTAGCTCAGAGCTTTGTGCATGCTAACGACTCAATATGCATTTGTTTGTGGCGTGATTGCACTGAGTTCTGCCAACCATACATAGCATTCTCTTTAATGCCCTACTTACCGGGTACTAATTCTGTCCTAGGTTTGTGGCACAAATTTGTACTCTGGAGACATTGCTTTTCCCACTGGAAATGTAAAAGGATCTGCCTCCTGTTTTCCTTTGATGGGCCTGAACTGTGCTTTCTTCTTGTCACGTTCAACGCCGTATCGTGGGCATGCCGTCTCATTCTTTCAGCGGCTGTGTGGTCGCCTCTGCAGAGAAGAGTTTTCAGAAACAACAGCCATTTCCCACCTGACTTGAATCCAGTGTGCTAGAAGCTTAACGTGTTGAGGATTTGTGTATCACAAGGCGGTGGGAGAGAAGAGTGCCATTGGCTGCCCCTGTTGGACAATCAGGGTAGGCTTTGTGAGGTTTTGATCTTGACCCCTGTGGATGGATTACTGTGCTGGCTTCTTGTGCTTTGCGTCAGGCTGTGCAGAGAGCAGAGGCAGACAGGTGGGCTGTGTGGAGGAGCCACACCCCAGAGTGGTGCCTGGGAGTTACCTGCCCACTCCGCCTCCACCTCCCATCCGCGAGGTTTGTGATGGGGAGTTGACACTTGAAATATGTCCATAGTCTCTCTTAAGAGTTTCCTTTGAACATCCTTTGTTATTTTCTACTAAAACTGAGAAATAATAGTATCTTCCTTGCTATCAAAGATATCACATACATGAAGGTACTTCCCAAAGTTCATGGAAATGGAATTAAAAGATAACTTTATTTTGGTGCAAGTACTTCTGAAGTCTATGCATAGTTTTTTCATAATATGCATGTTCCGTGAACTCTGAAGATCCCTCATATGGATGGACTTCAAAATCTTTTGCACCAAAATAAACTCAACTTTTAATCTCATTCCCCTGAGCTTTTTGAAGGATTCTTCTATCAGGTAGTAAGTCCAGTGGGTACCAATGTCTTCAGAACTCTGCAGCTGTCGCCACAATCAATTTATTTATTTATTTTACTTGAAAGTCAGAGTTACAGAGGGACAGGAAGAGAGAGAGAGAGAGAGAGAGAGAGAGAGAGAGAGAGAGAGAGAGAGATCCATCTTCCATCTGCTGGTTCACTCCCCAGGTGGCTGCAATGACTGTGGCTTGGCCAGGCCAAAGCCAGGAGCCAGGAGCTTCGTGCAGGTCTCCATGCCACAATCAGTTTTAGAGCACTTTTGATCCCAGAATGAAACCCTGAACACATTGGCTGTGACTACCAGTTCTCCCACAAGACCCTCTAGTCCTAGGCTGTTTTCCATCTCAAGATTGTCCTCTGGACATTTCATATAAAATCATCAACCTGAAACTTTTGGGAACTGTCTTCTCTCAGCATAATATTATCAAGATTCATGGACCAGTACTTCTTTCCTTTTAATGGCTAAACAATATTCTGTTGTATGGGTGTTTCCTATTTTGTTCACCCATTTATCAGGTGATGGAGATCTCGGTTATCTCTACTCTTTGGCTATTTTGACATTTGTGTAAGTTCTTATGTGGATGTAGGTCTTTTGGATCTCTTGAGCATATATCCAGGAGTGGAATTGATGGGTCATCTGGTAACAGTGTGGTTTGTGGTTACAGGAAATGCAAAGCAGTTTTCCAGAGGGACAGTACTGTTTTACATTGCCACTTGCAGTTTAAGAGTTTTCAATTTCTCCATTTTCACGTGACCCTTGTGTTTGTCTAGCCTGAGGTCATGAAGATTTACTCTTGTGATTTCTTTAAAGAGTTTTGTAGTTTGGGCTCTTATTTTTAGTTCTATGATCCATTGAGCTAATATTTTTGGGTATCTAGTGAGGAAGAGATCTGATTTTATTCCTTGCACGTGGCTATCTCATTGCTCCAACACAGTTTACTGGTGAGAGCTAGTTTTTGCCCAGTTAATGTCTCGGCACCTTGCTGAGAATCGGTTGACCCTGACCGCGTGGCTTTCCTTCTGGACCCTCAGTTCTAGTCCTTTGATCTGAATTGTCATCTTTATGCCAGGACCACAGTCTCCTGATGGCTCTCGCTTTGTAAT